ACGCCTATTGGGTGTAGGGCGTAAGCCTGATATGAAATGAATTCAAATCAAACCCTTCCTGTGTGCATTCGTGAAGGTCATCACAGGCACCTCCTCATTCGGCGTTGGTCGAGTGAATGTTCGGAGATTAGGCCCCGACGGTAATGCTCCTGCTTCAGGGATTATTGAAGCTTCTGGGGCCTCGACAACCTTTCGTGGTAGTCCCGGCCCCCTTTTGAGTCCTTCGGAATTTTTACTGGTGATCAAAGCGAATCCCTGATCAGAGTGCAGGTGACACTATAAACACCGCTATGGTTGGATAGTGCAGTGGTTCATCGCCTTGGCCGGTCTCCAGAGTAGAGTCTGGATAGCTTGGACACTTATCCCACTTGAGACAGTAGATCGCTGGTTCAAATCTGGCAAAACACAACCACTTTTCTCGCGGCGCTGGTATGCATGAATGACGAAGGCATGCTTGGATAACCAAAGATTTTGAAATTCCCTTTGGTGGGTACTTACGAAGGAGAGTCAACTGTTTGCGTAGGCAAGCATATCCCATAGTGGTATTTGCGAACGAAATCCAGAGTATGAGTGTCTCTAACGTCAAAAGAGTCATCTTAAATGTATATATATCACCGGTCATGTGTCATTGCTCTATAGCTGAATGTACATTAAATGATTTTTAATAAAATGAAAAGTAAAAAAAGAGCAAGATCCGTGAGACTCTTCTTTACAACTTACCCCAATGCCAACATCCCCTCGTCAATTGGAGACTACTGCGAAATTTCCATCTAGGTCCTTTTGTGCGCGTTAAATGCCTTGACGGCCTCGTTAAAGTCTTCCACAAATGGTAGGTCCTCATCCGTCTCGCCCATCACAATTAGTCTAACCTGTTTTAATAGTTTCCCTAGGATTTCAAGGTTCTTATCCTTTGGAGCTGTCTGCGCTCGGCTGCCGTTGATTGTGGTTGCCATCCTCGCTTCTTGCGACACGTCGAAACCGCTGGATTTACCCACATCAGCACCCACACTCGCCATGTTGAAGTGCAGAGAGAGAAATGGTGGAAGATGGTGAAGACGAGGTAAAATCAAGATTCTAAATGCCAAAATGATGATATGGCTAGTTTCCAGGCAAAATATTTTTGCTACAAGCATCTTATCGCTTGATGTGTTTGATAAGTTGGGTAACTAGTCACGACGTGACTAAGTATGACGTAATTTGATTTTTGTAGTTGACAAAATATTTGGAGGGAAGCACAAGAGAAAATACTTTTTACATCAATTGATTACCTACTTATCGTCCGTTGTAATTTCACTACAGACTTGAGAAATATCAACAATATAAATTCTCTGTTGTTGTATATAGCGAAGCCGTAGGCTGAGTATGATGGACCTTTCGATGACAAAGAGTAAACACACTAAGTTCCCCGCGGTCGACCTCTAAGGCAAATCCTGATGTAGATTACCGTTTTCCCGTTATCATGGTATTATTTTGAATTTGTTTTATTTAACCCGATCAGGCACCCTATGCATCCATGTAGGTGACTATCTTCATGACTTACAAAGGAGGAAACCAATTTGGTGAAAACCCATGGATCCTGTCTCTTTATATTCCTATCAATTTGTTTAGTTTACTTTCAGGAAGTGCAGTGTACACTGTTCAGCCAGTATGGATTCCATCCTCTCCCCTTCCAGATGGTTTAATTCTATTCGATATTGCTAGCTCGACTTCCCCTGCCAGTCGAAACTGTTTTATCCATCCTTTGCTTAGTATCCACAATGTGATTCTAGTTACATCTCCTAGTCTGTTCATCATTGCCTCAAACGATCTGTCTCTAGCTTGTCGGAGAAAGTCGCCGCTTCCATTTGCCCACTGCGGATACGCCAATACCATGTGTTTGACGTTTTGCGACGGATATCCACATTGACAGCTTGGCTTTTCTACTCCGGGTACTTTTCTTCTGCACAGGTAAGAATTGAGCCCGATATGCTTGCCTCTTAGCTGAATGGCGACACTGCTTTGGGCCCTGGTTAGGTTACGGTGGATTCTTAAGGGTTTATCTTTGAAATTCATTTTGGTGCTGCCTGTTTTTTTTTTTTTTTTTATTATATTAAAGTCCTAAGCTAAAGCTCTAGGTCCACTATAGGTACAAGACTGGTGGAGCCGGCGAGGATCACTGCTAACAGGCCCAACTCATTCCAACCGCGAGACCTGCTACAGAAAAAGTAGGAGGTAAATTATAACTCAGAAGACTCCACCTACTCCGACTCCGAAATCGAGACTCCATCCTTCAACCCTAAATTCAAGTACATAAAAGATTTCCTCAGAGAAACGACACTTCTCGCATCGATCCCTTTCGTGTCATGCGTTGTGGCAATGACTAGTTTATCTGATCCCCACTGAGAGCAGTGGATAAGTGAGCAGGTCGTCTATCAAAACAGCCGGTTTCCTGCGCAAAATTTTTGAAGCTATCGTGGCACTTGGGCCCGAGAAGCTTTTTAATAAAGTCAGCGTGGGACATTGACTTTCTGAGCCTACGCGTTTGTTGTGCGTGACGGCTACAGTGGATGAAATGGGTTGGAGTAGTTTCCTTCCCGCAAGAGCACTCCATAGGAGCGTGTGGATTATTAAAACGGCGATGGTATGCCGCAAAATTGCCGTGACCTGTTCGTGCTGCGATTAGTGCCCGGAGGAGGTGCCTAGAGAGAGACAGTTCAGGTGGTTTGCGTCTCCGGTGCTGCCTGTTTGTTCCTCAGTAATTATGTTTTCCGCTTTCCTATTAATTTTAAATATTATTATTCACATCGAGAAGAGAGTTCGATATCCTATACAACTATCAAGAAAGTCTTTGTTGAATGACCTAATAACTTAATGACCTTTCATGTATTATCTTATAAATGATGACTAATTATGTTGATGAGTAATGAGTTACCTGTTTGGGAATGGCGTCAGGAGAGAGAGACAACTGCTGTTTATACGTGTTTCCTTTAGTTAGAAGAGGAGATAGAAGATATATGTTAACCACCAATTGTTATTACTGCTACAGAAAGCTTGTGATATAATACCACTCGAGTATTCCGACAGTCTTGTCCGAAATTGAACACTTGCTCTTCGAGATATTTCCTCCTAGAAATCCTTGATAATTTGTAACATAGCTAAAATCATCGACTTCTCGTCAATGTCGGACCTATCATTCTCACGCGAGTCCTCTACCTCGATCTTGCTACCATACCTCGCCCCCACTTCCGATAAAAGAGTTACTCGATTTGCAATCGAGTATTTGCTTCATGGAAAATTGGCCATCTCCCGCTATATAATTACGAGGCTATGTATACCCGCGAGGAGAAAATTGAGTCATGATCTACAAAGCTCGGGCCTTGCTTTAATGGGGCTTCACATCTCATGGGAGGACAGGTAGCTGGGACGTGGGACGAACGAATAAAAAGCACAAATGGGTGAGGTTTCTTATGCACGTTAGTAAGAATAAAACGATAAATGTTGACTGTGAAATTCACGGATGTCTCGTGGCTCCGACTACGACAATCTATATGTGTGTAGAGCTTGAGACTAGGTGTAAACTTGTGTTTCTATTAACGTTCTAACTCCTCCTTAAATACATGAATTCCTCTATACTCCAGATAATGTAACGATCAATGATACATGACAAGTAAACTATCAGAATACAGTGGGAGAGGAGTGAGGTGCTTAGCCGCCTGAATTGTGACCAAAGAATGCGAGGGGTGCATTCTTGATGGAACCTCAAACTCGGCGGCTCGCCTAGACTCGGAGCTCAGCGGCTCGCTTGCCGTGAGACTTGGCGTTACGCTCGGACTTGGAATTCAGGATCCTCATGGGTATGCTGGGACGCACATTTTCGAGGGTTTTCGACTTGGGGGTGTCTGTGGGCGCAGAGACAATGATCTCGGATAGTGCAACCGATACCCTAAAAACAGGCAACGATGGAAGGTGTTTTGGTCCGCCTCCTGGTCGTCATCTCCCCGAATTCAAGTCTGAGTAGCCTGGAAGTCCACCTTACTCGAGAAAAGGGGGGACTGTGAGGCTATATCTCGCGCGGTGGCTATATAAAAGATGACAAAAGCATGTCAGGGCAACCAAAGGTTTTTCCTGTTTTCCCTTTGGTGGTTATGAACGAGTGAGGAAGGGTGAAAATCCCTAGCACCAAGGTCACGAGTGGTATCAGCGAACGCACCCAACACGTGAGTATTTTAAACGTGAGACTGAGCTTTTTTCGTATGTAGTCGTCGGGGAAGCTAGTCTTCTCCGCGTTATGCTCTTTGAGTGCAGGGCTTGTGCCCGTGATGCATAAAAATTCATTCATTTTGTACCTTTCGTTTTGCATTGAATTAACCCTACGTGTACGTATATTTAGGCCAATCGACACTCATCAACTTATCTGAATGTTCCCCGCACCGCTTGAGCCAATCAACAGTCAACATTGTACACTTTCAGTATTCCGTCAACTGGGATCCACAACATTGACCTCGCCTAAACGTTAAAGACCCCCTCGCGAGGATCCATGCTTCCCTGTGTTTCGAAAACCACACGCATAATTTATTCAGCTTATTGCTGTGCGGCGTTGGTGATGAGAGCCTCGAATAGCCGATGTCTGATCAGGTATGGCTTGGCGATTGTTACTGCTACCTTTTTCTGGAAATGGCTTCTTTGCAAAGGTTAGCAGCGGATACGGCATGTTACTTGAAGAATTAGTTTCCTAGCAGAAAACTGTCCAGAGGACCCATTCTATTTTGGACGACCAGCCGAAAAGGCTTGTGGAATTATAGGCTATCGTAAGTCAGGCACGCCTAGCTTGCCCAATTTGTATCGTGTCTCATCGCATAGAATAGTCTGACTAATCTGGTTGAATGCAATGAATTTTATTAGTTTAGACGATTAGGTTTGAACTGCAGCATTCGTGACAAACTCCGGCGTCTATTCGGAATCATGTTTCTATGTAATCCCAAGATAATTCACTTCTTTCTCGACGCCACTCCTTTAGAATTTCAAGTTTCCCATGCTATTCCAGAGTTTGATCTGCCAATAGTTTTAAAGGATGCTTCGGCCCCGGATTTTTCAAAACGACGCACACTCATTTTCTCGAGCCCCGTCATCCCAGAGAACCAGAACCCAATGATAACTACAAGGTAACTGAGAAGAAGAATGCTACCTTTAAAATAATTGGATTTCCCTTCCCCATACATATAGCTCAGGAGAAATACACACAAAATGACGGTCACCATGTCCCATTGAGGAAAGATTAGACTGAAAGTATGGTCAACAATGTTGGGACCTGAAAGATAAGGACCTTGAACAGCGCTATAAAACACCAGCGCAGGGATTTGGAGGAGGCAGACTTGTAATGCGTAGGCAGAGCCAATTTCCATTGACAGGGCGATATTACCATTCATGGCAAAAGAAATAGCATTCTAGTACTTGTCAATAGAGCCCTATACGTGAGAAAGGCGCGTGGGGGCAAGGGATCTTACAAGAAATTCGGTAGTATTGGGGACTAGAGCAAAGAGAGTTATTCCGATAAATTTTTCATCGATTGAAACGTTCTTCAGCACAACATCAACAGTGCCGACCAGAATTTCTGCGATTAGTGCATAAAGTACAGTAGCTACACACAAAACTATCGAACTTTTTGTCCGTCCCCAGTTGGGTGCATCATGACCACCTGCCGAGTGAGGTTCGGCTGCCGCAGGTTCCTCGCTATCAGGGGCTAAATTTATACGACTGGGCTTGTGTTGTCCATGTACATGATGCGGTAAAATAGAGGCCATTCTAGATTTCCTAGCATTATTTGCAGCGATTGTCGCAGCGGTTGCGGCCATCTCAGCAACTTCCCGAACTAGACTATTCCTCCGAGCATCCGTATAGTCAGTTGAGTGAGATTCAGTTCTCAAAGTATCCGCAGGGTGATTCTTTGGAGGTGGCTGATGTGCTGTTTGTAACGATATATTTGGTATACCGGCTTCGTTTGTTGAGTGGCTTCTTGAGACTTCTTCTCGAGGGCCTAAGCCGAATTGTTTCAAGGACTGTCCAAGGATCCGTTTATACAATACAGAATCGCGAATATCGACACCTCGTGCATCAAAGCTGGGTCTGTGTAAACGCCCCTGGGAGAGACTACTAGCATGTTGCTGTTGAGCTTGAATTTGTGCCACCTCTGGGATTTTCTTCTCATCAACCTCATTCCAGATAACAGCGGCGTGAGTTCTTAATGTAAACCAGAGTCCAGTCACATACGCGAGGAAAAGTAACGCGGCAGCAATCCAACAGTACGGACGGACGGCCTCAAGGTAGAATCGATCATTAAGAGATGGAGACTGAGAGAAATAACACAATCGACAGTCACGACTGGACCTTGATTCTGAAGCGTCGACGCAGTCCAGACAATTAAGTTCATGCTATTAAATATTAGCCTTGTCCACTTGTAGAGACCAAAGAAACTTACGGTTCCATAAATTTGATAGAATAAGGTGGGGCCAAAGGCTGCGATGACTGCGAATAATAGCATCGTTGATGTAACACCCGCCGATTTTGCATTGAATCTCTGAGTCTTGCGCTTGATTGCACCAAAGCACATGGAGAGGCCTGGAAGAAAGAGGATACCTGCGAATATACTGCCTATAATACTACCTTCCACAAGTTGACCCTTGCCTTGGTTAAGTGCAACGCAATAGAGGAATACTTCCACTAATGTTGAGAAAAATGCATTAATGGCTGCACCAAGACCCATGGAGGATTGCGCTGATATCGAAGCCACAGCTTGACCGATGAAATAAGCTAATGGAATAATCGAAACAAGTGCAGCTATGAACAAAAATGCTGGATGCGTGATTGCGTAATCCTCAAATCCAAGGACTTCTAGCAGAATGAAGTAATCAAAGATAACAAATAATACGACACCCATCAAGTTTATGAGGAAGATATTAGTACCGTCAATCGTATACTTCCAGTATTTCAGTCCAACTGCCCGATAGCTACATAGAAGAATAGATGATTTGGGTATGCTTCCACGGGAATATTCAGAGTCAGATTGAAAAGATAGGGCAAGTGGATGTCTGCGTAAATGATAGAAAAGCAACAGGGTAACCTTGCCCATGGGTATCCAAAAAACTAAGAACCAACAGATTCCAGAGACTAGGATCAAAAGAGGGGCTATGAGTCCGTAGAAAAAGAGGAAAAATATGACTCGGCCAGTATTCCATTTGCCTCGACCGAATAGACGTCTTTTAAACGGAAGATCAGAATCTTCTTGGGCTCCACTTCGCCTGGTTCTACCAAGGAGGCTATCACTTTCACTCGCTGAATCGATGCTGCGCCGAGAACGGCCAACGATGGAACGTCTTTCTTGTGGCCCAAAAAACAAGCGGCCGTCTTCAATGTCACCACTTTGCCATTGTTCATATTCTGTAATACTCCTTCCTTCGCCTTGATCTTCATGAGCATATGCCTCATCTTGTTCGAGTCGTACAAACTTTCCAAAGGGATAAAATAAATAGCCAGAGAGGCCCCACAATACTCGTCCGTAGGGTAATGCACTCGGTGCTGCTCCAAAAATGAAGCATACAAGAGCACCGATGAAAGCTACTAAGGCGAGCCACCATCCGAAGCATACTGTCCATAATAGATTGAAAAATAATAGCCAGCGACTAACTCGATCGCCAGGAGATGAGTGGATATCTCCCTCAGCGTTTTTCTGCACTGATCGATTTTTTTTGTATAAGGCAGGCTTCCATATGCGAATACCAAAGGGGTGGGTTTCGTTAATAGCTTGCTGCCTATCTTTCAAGGTAAAGCTTTCAGTTTCGCTAAGACTGTCATCTATATCGTCATCATTTTCAGCTTCGTCCGTATTTTCAGCATCTTCGGCTGAGAAAGATTTGTGTCTTTCTGTACTCTCCTGGGCTTCAGGAGCCAGTTCTTCGACGCCTGTATCAGCTCCAGTAACAATTGCAGCGTCTGTCTCGCTTTCTTCAGCATCTTCATCGTCTCTTGAAGCCACACTAGCTAGTGTAGGCAACTGTTGCGCATTGTGGCGTCTTTTGAGCGTGGATGGCTGCTGCCTATTAACACTGAAGCTAAAGCTACTATGTCCAAGTCCACTACTTTTGGCTAGGTCGTCCTGAATTTCAGTGACATCGTCATCAACTGAGAATTCCTGTCCTCGATAAGGTGCTCGAACATTAGAGGAAGGTCTACGGACCAGGCCAGATTTTTTCGCACGTTGTCTGCCTCTTCCGCTTTCCGATCCTTGTAGAAGGGATGTTTGAGTTTTTGAGCCTGAAGGCTCGAGGCTACTTGCACTTTGTCGTTCGTTGACAAATAAGTTTTCGGCAGGCAAACTTTCGGCTTGGGGTAAAGCTAGCTGTTGTTGATTTTGAATTAAACCTTTAGAAAATATGAGCGCTGGGATTAATCTTGAGAAGCTTGGAGCGGTATGTAATCTCATGTATGGGTGAGATCTTACCATAAGATTGTGGCTCTGGCCAACGCCGCACAGTATCTGTGGATTGAAAACTCGTAGAAACAAAATCTGGGTGTGAAGGATTTGTTTCTTCCATTAATTCTGTAGGAGTGAAAGCATTTCTGGTATCTTTTGGTGAGGTAGACTTTGACATGTTTGCGGCATGAGATTGAGTAGCTTGTCGGGCCTTGCCTTCTGTTATCTCCTTAGATGATGAAGACGCAGGAACATCCATTCTATTGTCCAAAATGTGTAGCACGCTAGCAATTACTCCGTACAAATAAAACTCCTCAAACTTCGGGAAACGGCACGGCTATGCCTCAGAATTTAATCTGGTAATTAGCGAAGTTTGTTATTCACAGACCAAGAGGGAGTGATTTAATGCAAGCATCAGAAATCCCTTGATCTTATCGTCGGGGAGAAAGAGCATTCGCCTGGTTTCGATTGAATCCCTGATGCTATATTAATTTATCACTTTCGTTTCTCAAATGACAACATGGGCAACCATGAAATAACCAAGGTTTTATATTTAATCCAATCATACGCTCTATTTACTCGGTGTGAGATGCATGGCTCGTTTGTTCCGGGGCCTGCGATCTTCAGCCTTCTCGCTTCTGCGCGCGGCAGTGAAGTAGCCTGAGCTACATCGCGCAGAACCAACATGTGAGCCCATCCAACCTCAACTACACTGAAGATAAAACACACTAGCTAGTGGAAATGGCGCTCGGAAGTTTTTTTCACAACAAAATTGAGAGCATGAAGCTCGAGATTATCAGGGGACAAGCTGTCTTGAGAAGGTTAGAAGCTCAGCGAAACGACTATAACTCCAGAGGTCTTGAATCAAGCATTCTTTTTTTGATTCGAGCTAAAATTTCACAGTGCGTCTTTTGAGAGAGGAATTAGGCTTGTTACAGCAGCCAGGCTCGTATGTCGGAGAAGTTGTGAAAGTTATGGGAACCAAGAAGGTGTTGGTCAAAGTGCATCCAGAAGGCAAATATGGTGAGAATGGTGGCCTAGGTCCTAGTACTAGAAACTAACGTCACATAGTTGTTGATATCTCCGAAAACGTCGATGTCACAAAGCTCACAGTAGGGAAGCGAGTTACGCTCCTTTCAGATTCTTATAAACTTGAAAAAATGCTTCCCTCTTCGGTTGATCCACTAGTCTCTCTCATGATGGTAGAAAAGGTTCCTGATAGCACCTATGATATGATTGGAGGCCTAGATCAGCAGATTAAAGAGATTAAAGAAGTAATAGAACTAGGACTAAAGCATCCTGAACTTTTTGAATCTCTTGGAATTGCACAGCCTAAAGGTGTCCTACTCTATGGACCTCCTGGAACTGGAAAAACTCTCCTTGCGCGAGCGGTTGCGCACCATACAGCATGTAAATTTATCAGGGTATCTGGCTCAGAATTAGTGCAAAAGTACATAGGCGAAGGGTCTAGAATGGTAAGAGAGTTGTTCGTGATGGCCAGAGAACACGCACCATCAATAATTTTCATGGATGAAATTGATTCCATCGGTTCATCACGTCTCGAGGGCTCATCTGGTGGCGATTCTGAGGTTCAAAGAACTATGTTAGAGTTGTTAAATCAACTGGACGGTTTTGAGCCTACTAAGAACATAAAAGTAATTATGGCAACAAACCGTCTCGATATTTTGGATCCAGCTCTTCTCAGACCAGGAAGAATTGACCGAAAAATCGAGTTCCCACCACCTTCTGTCGAAGCCCGGGCGGATATCCTTCGGATACATAGCAGGAGTATGAACCTAACTCGTGGTATCAATCTTACAAAAGTTGCAGAAAAAATGAATGGATGTTCTGGTGCCGAGTTAAAAGGAGTTTGTACCGAAGCTGGAATGTACGCGTTAAGGGAGCGGCGAGTTCATGTCACGCAAGAGGATTTTGATTTAGCTACAGCAAAGGTATTAAATAAACATGACGACAAGGAGGTCAGCTTAGGAAAATTATGGAAGTAAACCTGTAATGGGTTACGAATGTACAGTAGGACCACAATAATGTTGAAACGACGCGCTCGATTGACATTCAAAAAAAGAGTGACTAAATACGATAAGGCGCTTTATGTTCTTGCACTGCTAGTGCTCAATGAAAACTTTACCCTAGCAAATAAGTCCGTCATAACGAGCAGGTTATCTGTCAAGCACTGAATCCCTAAGAATTGGGCCTAAGAAACAGCATGCCACAAGGTCGTTTAATCCTCCAAATCACTTACCGCAAATAAATTATAATACACCTCGGAAAAGTTCACCTAGTTCTCGAGGGGTGTCCACATCGTATCAAGTGGAGGTTATAACTCTCAGTTTACAAAACTAAAAGGGGAGTATTGCTGAATCCCCAGTCTCTAACGCAAGAAATAAATCCTTATCTGAAATTGCACCAGCTGATACCATGGCTGAGCCAAATGAAGATTACACAGATTTGTATAGTATAGATTAAATAAAAAATTTTTTTTTTAAGGATTTGTTAGTGTAGAGAAGCTCACACAGTAGGGTAATGAGAGAAGCGGGACACAAGATTAAATAATGGACCAAGCCTCAGAACCATCTTCCAGATGGCTATGAATACTACAGCAGATATTATCAAAGTTTAGAATTTGATGATATCTTATCTATCAGATTAACCCTAAATAGTCTTGAATTTCTACATTAAAGGTTTACAACCCATGTCGCTGTATTCTATTTGGGGCGAAATCGGTGTAGTTCACTGGGATTACGGCGCAATTTGCTAGCTAACACCCACCCTCTTTACAGCCTCTAATATCACTAGACTTGTGGACAGTCAGAGAATAGAAGACTAGAAATCATTAATTTTTGTTTTGCTCAGTTATGTAGTATGGTAGATCTAGTGGCTGGCGCATGAAGGAGATCCAGTCCCAACATATCGGCACTATAAGTAGTACTGTGTGCAGGATGAGAGATAGTTTGTTGATATAGAACGAATGGCATTATTGCTCTGTTGGGAGCACAATTTGGTGCGCTGGATACTGGTAACGTGATCGGTCTACATGCGAACAAGCTATGGGATAAGGGACGAGCTTCCCCCAATCATTAACATATTATTATTATATCTGATTTGATTTCATTTTTATAATTGGGCGCCCATGGGCCCAAGCATGTGGCTATAAACCTATCTATATATTTGCATGAGGAAACCTCTCGGTAAAAACCTCCCCAGCTATCTGATATGTATCTTTCAAATTTGTAATTTATCATTCAGGAAGTATAATTAAACTGCAGTGCCGTCTGTGTGTACCAATCACATACTCTGTACCGACCGTAAACTTGTGCTAGTCCTGTCTCGTTCCCAAATCAGTATCTCGACTACATTTGTCATGCGGATTTTTTCTATCCAACCGTGACTAAGAATCTATTGCGTAAGTCTTTTAAAATCGCCAGGACTGTCAATCATTGCTTCAAAGGAGCGTTTTCGGACTTTTCTCCATGTCGGAATGATTCATCTAGCTGGAGTAATTTGCAGGCGGTAGTTGTTACATCGCATTGGCTAGATGTCTTGATTTGTGGATTCTGACTTTCGGATAAAGCATTATCCGGATGTAGGCTAGATAGCAATTCCATAACATCAACTCAGAAGAACACGAATGAGCCATGAATGCGCATTTCTTCTGAATAATAGTTCGAAATACTTAAACAAGTACTCTCATAACTTTAATTGAACTAATAGACTTTTAGTGTATGACTTTTGTCACACCAACACTCCAGATCTCACGCCTATCACTTGACTAGTTAGGGCAGGACATGATCATGTGCTTGGGATAATTATTACCATATAAATTTCATTTCAAAGTATAAATAAAGATATCCCTCCATAAACTATCTTAACTGTTCCAGCATAAATGTACATTCTCCGATCATTCTCCAATCATCATGATTTAGCTCTCGTCAATCACCAGTTAATAGATCTTAAAATCTCATGCAGACATTAGATCTTTATTGTCGATACAGGGAGACTTTTCTCAATACCTGTGACGGAAACCGAGTTGGTGATGAATAAATCGATTTAATAAACTATATGAGGAGAAAAGCTAACTCCAGCTACTACTAACAGGTATTTATTTGTATTTATAGGAGTTAATCCTCCTCGTGAATCTACAGACTAGTGACTTGTCCTTAGGCACAATACTTCTTACCCAGCCACATATTTCTAGGTGTCACTTAGTTGTAATAACGCTTCAGCCTCCTGACTAGTAGTGCCGTTTCGTTCAGCTTCATCTCCTCCCCATACAGCCTCTTCGTAAGAATTCTTAGTATCAGGCTTAGGTATCCACCTAAGCTCAAACAACGGTCAAACCGTAACAATACCTGCCAATAGTGTCCCCTACGAACATCCTGCTCTCACTTTAGGGTCTGCCGAGCCGAGATTGAGTAACACTGTTCTCACTTTGTTAAGGATTCCCAATCGTTTTCGCGGTCTGTATCATCTTCATTTCTCAACACACCCCCTCTGTCACCATTATTATGAAGCTAACCACGATCAGGTTAGATGGTAGGGTAGAAGCTGTTCTCATCACAAACTCCTGATCATAGTGGAAAGGCCGTCGGGTGACTTTCTGGAGCGTACCTAGCACCCGATATGGCGATGGTGGGTTTTATCAAGTTGGCCTCTAATGTTATGAAGAAGGGAGATTTATATGAATATGTGCACCTAATTTGGTCCCGGTGTCTAGACCTCGACAATGGGGCTTCAGGTTTTTGGTGACTTTTTCCTGGGCACGCAGTTTCCATCGCTACCATTTTTATCTTATTTTTATTATTTTCAATTGGCCTTAAATTACGTATACTTAAGGTTTGTTGAATGCAAAACGAAGGGTACGGTAGTGAGATATTTATTAAGGCTTCTCTCTATCATAGAACTTTGCGGACGTGTAGGTCGTGGTATTGGCTGAGACATTGCCTCGACGACTTGGCCAATAGGGATATGCACCACGCTTTGTGCAAAGCAAATTCAACTATTTTCCAACAATTATAGATATTATCGGTTGGCAATATATACGTATTTGCGTCACAATGGGTCTCTCGATGATGTGATGATTCCTGTTCAATTCACTTGTGGCCGTGAGCGCCATGTGGGTGACACGGCAAACCGCACTAAGTCATGTCACTACTGTCTACTCACGTAACGAACTCCTATGCCTACTAGGTGACCACAAACCTACTTGGGCTTTGAGGATTCCACGTTGATGTTACAATATATATATATATATATATATATATATATATATATATATAAGATTTTGAGGTAGGAAGTTCCGTAGAAAAGGTGGCTGGATTTTACTGGTTAATATGAGCTCCTCTCTGGCCCAGGGCCATGGACGGTATTCTCGTAGGATACACGAACTCTACTAAAAATTTCCGTACATATTCCATCAAAAAGATCCATCATAGCATCAAGACAAGTTGTCTTTCCTCCTGTCATGCAAGGGGAATTCGGAGGGCGAAGGCTGAACACCTGTCAGTGGTGTCCTCTACGAACCTGGGAGCGAAATATTCTCCCAGAGCCGAGATTCAGTCCCGAAAAAGGGTGGGGTGAATTTTTTGATGGATTTTCGACTTGAAGGAGCTGCGCTCGATATTTTGGTCGAAAAATCAGTGGGCAGAGATTTCACAGCCGGAACAAAGTTGAACAAAAACTTATCACCACTAACATACGATTCACGAGTGGGTCTAGGTCTATCTGGGGGTCGTATTCAAATATCTGACATCTCTCAAACTCCTTCTACATTTGCACCGGAGCCTTTCTCATTTGATCCCACACCTGCGACCCACTTCCATACTCGTCCGATCACCTACTTACACACGCCCTAATGAGGAAAGTCATTATGGAAACAGGAGGCGTACAAAGGAGGAAGAAAAGGGAAGAAACACCGAGGGGATTACACAAATCTCCAATGACGAAAACAACCAAACGGTACGATATAAAGGTGCAAGGCTAGAGCAACGATGAGATCTGGGACGGCATTTATATTTCGGAGTTAATGAGCATGTCAAGAGGAGGGCAAGGCTGAACACCTGTACGCGGTGTCCTCTACGAACCTGGGAGTGAAATATTCTCCCAGAGCCAAGTTCAGTCAAATTTCGCAATATCAAAGAAGTTGGCCCACGAGGCAAAAATTCAAATTACTCCACCATGTCAGTCTTTCACTCCTAAAGAGTCCTGTTCTCAACTAAGCTTCATCAAGTCTAGAAGTACGACCTAGTACATCCTCATTCCAATGATCACACCTCTCGTCGACTTTCTCTGGCCTCAGTTGACCACCAAATACACGCTCACGCCGATATTTATACCCGACGGAGGAAGCAAAGCGTGGAGCACAAATCTAGGAGATAGCTCTTTGTGATGGACGTGAGAGGGATCAGGACAAGTTCACAAGATGATGCGGAAGAGGGATACATTCTTTACGGGCGTGAAATTTCGAATTTTGGCAGTAGTTCTACAAATTGAGCTTTGTGCGCGCCAAGACTTCGCTTGCGAGAGTGCAGCTGACACTATAAACACAAGCAAACGATGGAAGGTGCCGTGGTACGCCTTCTGGTGGTGTTCTCCGGTATAGTCTGAGTAGCCTGGGCACCTACCCCACTTGGGAAGGAGACATTTCAGATTACACTTCGCGCAGAGGAAAGTTGAAAGATGATGGAGGCATGTCTGGATAACTCGGGGTTTTTGAGATGTTCCCCTGGGTGGGTATTCAGGGATGAGGGTTGCCTTGGGGTGAAGAAAAAGCCGCCATAACTTCGCAGTGATGCCTACAAATGAAATCCGAGGCATGAGTGCTCTTCTTGTAAATTGAGTCATCTATCATACACTTCTCTGATATTGTGTCATAGCTAGATAGCTGCATGCGCAATTAAAATCTGATGCAAAAAAAAAAAAAAAGAAGCAAACGATGGAAGTTGTCGTGGTCCGCCTCCTGGTGGTGTTCTCCGGTATAGTTTGAGTAGCC